CCCCCCACACACACACACATGGCAACTGTAAGAAACCCCACTGGTTGCAGTAGACAAATTTAAACTTTGGAGTTAACACCACCCGCAGAACAGCGACTAAATGTAGTGTTAAAGATGCGCTCTCATTTCTGTTCAACTCCCAAATTTAAATTTTAATTAGAAACTAGAAATAAATTTACACGTTTGCGATATACACCATTTTCGGGCCAAAGTGCAAATTGTTTTCAACGAGAGAGAAAAACTTAACTTCATCGTTGATCTACTACTTAAGCCTGGAACTGGTCATGTTTGAGTAACCATAAATAGACCACGATTTTCATTTTAAAAAGCGATTAAGGGGGTTAAGTAAGTTAATTGAATGAGTTCGGTTTATTCCTGTTGGAAATAACAGATTCTTGTAAACTGAACTGAGTTTTGGAGATATCAGTGATGTTTAAAGAAAAGATTATCGAAAATACCTGCCACAATATTAATGTTTGTTCCACGTTCTGGAAATGATGGGAGCTTGATTTTAACAGAATTGACAGCAGGTTGTTTCTAAGAAACAAAATATGGGAGTAAGACGGATTTTTATAAACCATTATTGTGTTCCATTACCGTATCCCTAGCCTGTTAAAATTAGTTCTTATAACTTATTAACTTTTATGACGTACAAAATTTACAAGATCTGATTGGTTGGTAAAGTTACAACTTAATAAACCAGTACGTCTATAACTGGAGTGGGTTAAATTCCAAATTTGCACTCTGGAATAATGAAAGAAGGCCAGTTTTATGAGCCTATATCCATTCGGATAAAAAGTGCACAACTCAGACGGTCATTTTCCATTCTGATCCTTTATGAAGCTGTACCTTTTCATTTTCAAGGACGGTCATGTTTGAAACCAGTAAAAGTTGCTTTTTCTACCATGAATGAAGGAGGCCTAAACTTTAAATTTTCATTGGTTATTGTTGTTTGGGTGATCTGTTCCTCAGTAGCAACACACATTTAATTTCGTATAGAATGATTTGTCCTTTACTGTAACCAGTGGATTCTGTCCCAGCTGGCATTCTTCACAAATGAATGCTGCAAGATCTATCCAGGTTGTACAACACTCACACTGCCTAGTGCATGTAGTATATGTCGGATTGCCTGCTCCGAGATTTCTGCTCCTTTTCCTATGTTTATTTTTAACCTCACTTTGTCCAGACAGAAAAATCCTTGATGCGTGAAAAAAAGTCATTATTCCTGTTTTTACAGCCTATGTCAGTAATTATATGCCTTTTGTAATTTTAAATGCTTTTAGAACGTGTTTTAAATCGTCTTATTGATCTTATTCCCCACAATATTTATTTCATCATGACTTACAAACCATAAGTCAGCAGCAACAAATTTGGTTACTTATCACGGCTCTGTTGGTACCATCGTGTGCTGTCGACCTATATCGATTTAAGTAAGTATCGCTTTTAATTTGGTTCTGCACTGTTTGCTTTTAGACAAGCGTACGAGTTACTGCTTGTCCACTAGTTACTTCCCTTGTTTTGTAGTTATCTAACTACATTCGTTATTTTATTTTGTGTCGCCTTCAACTGTGCTATCTGGTGCTCCTCGAGGTTCTGTTTCGGGAACTTTGCTGTTTAATATAATCATTAACGATCTATTTAGTACAGTTACACGTTGCCTACAATGATGTCTGGTTTTGCAGTCAGACATAAGCTGCAACACCCACGAATTTTAATATTGGCAAAACAAGAGTCACATCTTTAGAAAATTTATTTATTGGCTTTTGAGTACGTTCGTAACAGCTCTGATATTCTGCGTGCAGATTGTGTTAGAGACCTTGGGTATCTTTCGCAAGTCTGGACTTTATTTCCGATCATTTTCTTACTTGCCAAACGCGTTTTGGCTTCAGAAAGCCATATCAGCTCCTATAAATTATTTATTTGTTCAGTATAGGATAAAAAGAGTATATTAAATTATGAAGGCCTTATGTCATAGCGAAATGACCGATTCATACAAACATTAAAACTCGTAAGAGATGCTGTAGTTAAAAAGTGTATGAACATTTAATCACTCCATTCTTTAAACGTCTTCTTCTTAATACTCTGACCGGTTAGGCCCATATGGGCTGCTCAATTTCAGAATTACTTCTGAAATTGTGAATCACTTTGACATTTGGCAGGACTTGAGTGATCGGCTTGTCTGAAGGCTTCTGTCTACACAGACCGCGCAATTGTTAACACTCGCCATAAATCATGGAAAATTAATGTTGCAGATTTTCTATTAACTGTCCATCTATTATAATGTAGCTATTATGTGTTATTTTCACGTAATATTGTTATAAAGTTGACTTTTCTCATCTTTTACAGCAGTTTAAGGCTAAGAAGCCTTCTTTCAGTTGTATTTTACATTTATTATATGTTATTATGTGTTGTGAAAGTTACTCATCTCACACTGATGATGGCTTTATGAAGCCGAAACGCGTTTAGCAAGTAAGTCGCGTTCCATGACAAAGGGAAAGTAAAGAAAACAGTTCGCTTGGACATGCATATTTGCTGGTAGACGAGTTGGTAGGGTAGGAGATTAACGCGGAGGTAAAATAGCGAGTTGGAGCCTGGTATAACCATGTGTTTTTGTTGCATAAGGTGTATTCGCGCAGATAACTGGTTTAAACCGTGTAGTTGAACAGGATCGTTGTTTTGTATTTGGACCGTGTGTCAGAACGCTTTTGCCTGCCACAGACCTTCACAAAACCGGTGTTTTCTGGCGTTCATCTCATCGGTGACTTAAATGTCCAGGCTGAGTGTAGGATAGTGTTCGAGATGGTACCTAAGTATACGATAAAACAAGGTTTTTTTTTCGTACATGACAGTTACCTAAGAAGAGATTCAGCTCGTGTAGTAGAGAATATCATTAACATTTCCGTGGTGCTAATATTCCTGTATGCTGTGCCATTCATTGTTTGGCATAGAGCAACATCTCGTCTACGTTATAGAAGTATACGTTTCCATATTATAAAACAGTTTACCTTTCTCTTTTGACGATGGTATAACGTATACATCCCATTCCACTAGATGCTACATTCATGTGTTTTGTTTTCTTCCTAAAATATATTTTCGTTTCATTATTGTAATTTTAAAAATTCTTGGTTGGGTGTAACCAATTTAACGTAGAGATTATAAACGTGTCTTGAAATAAGCGGGGCATGTAGCCGAAGGGGCTAGAGAGATGCTAAATGCGTACAGAATTTGGTCGGAAAGCCTGGAAAGGAAGAGACCAGTTAGAAAACCTTGACGTAAATGGTAGAATAGGCCTAAGATTGAAATTGATCTTAAAGTTTGAAGATTTATTTGCCTGAAGATGTTTGCCAGTGGCGACAACATTCGGGTTTGATAAAATACGGGAGATTTTTTAAACAGCTGAGCGGTTACTAGCGTCTCAAACAGGACTCTGTTCCTTTGAGTTGGTATAAAAGTTCCAAGGTGTCTGGAAGCCAGTTTACATGTGTGCGTGTTGTTCAGTACAGGAGACAGTCCAGGGCTTGCGCAAGCGCACATCAACGCCACAGAGACATTCACGTGCAGGAGAAAGTGGACCGCCTTACGATACTTCGCAACTACCCAAAACACCACATACCCACGCTAAGTTCACGCAAGTTGCCATTTCTCTGTCTGGGGGTCTGCAGTTATCCAAAAGCACTCTGATTGTTCTGCATTCAGTTTTAACATCTTGAATATAGTTACAAAAGGGGATCTACGAACGCTGGCGTTATACAGGCACAGAATTGCCGCAAAGTTGTCAAGCTAGATAAAGATAGATACTCCGTAGTGCAGAGCCCTCTCTTGTTAAGAAGGTGGTAAAGTCGCTGGGATTGTCAAGGGATTCCTCGTCTTATGTCGACTCCGAAAGTTTTATTATCATGTTTAAAAGGGCCTACGCTTGAAAGATTAAAATATTATTTTCTCTTCTCAGACACGTTACAAACCCATAGGCTTTTAAAAAGAACAGGCAAAATTATATGTTTTACATTTTAATAATTTTGTCATTAGATAGAAAACGAGAAGATAAAGTGTTTTAGTGAGCAGGAAAACTTTTTTTTCTTTTCCTGATATTGGAACAGGCTGTCCGAGTGACGTCACACGCACGGCTTACCGTGGGCCTCTCAGCTGCCGGTTCCAGGTGACGTCTCAAAACATCAGAGGGGTGCGGTAACGTGTGGCTATGATCGTTCGTGAAATGAGCGAGACGAGACTGCATCGTGCAAACGTCGGGCTTCCGCTTCGATCGTGTGAGGAAGGAACCTGGATGTCGATGCGAATTAAATGACATTTTCGGTGATTATTATCCTGTCACAAATCAGATGTCAGTACGGTTTGAGGTTCTCAAGGCTTCAGTAGATTTCACCCAGCCTGTGCCTGACTAATTCCTTCATGTGCTACGCGAAGTAATTTCGCAGAGTTGCCAGAAGCTGTGCGCAGTGGCGGACTGCGCTGCACCTATATCAGCCTAAGACAAATTAACACAAAATAATTAATATAGATAGAGCTGTGTATGATTTGAGGTTTTCACAGCGGTGCGTATGAAGATTTCTGTCTTCTGGGGTGTTGCGCTGTGTAGTCTGGTCTATGTTTACCGACGTTTCAGAGGTCATACTACCTCCGTCATCAGGGCGATGAGTATGAAGGTTTCTGTCTTCGGGGGTGTTGCGCTGTGTAGTCTGGTCTATGTTTACCGACGTTTCAGAGGTCATACTACCTCCGTCATCAGGGCGATGAGTATGAAGGTTTCTGTCTTCGGGGGTGTTGCGCTGTGTAGTCTGGTCTATGTTTA